GGGTCTCAAACTCGTGGCCCGTGGGCCAATTGCTGGGACGGGTGGGGCACAGGGAAGGGGCCCTGCAGCCTTCAAAGCGCTGGTGGCGCCCGGGCCAGCCGCGGGATGAGCGGCCCACCACAACCACCGCGGTGGTGGAATACTTGATGCGGCCCAGCCTCACCCAGACTCTGCTTCCAGCGGCTCCCAGGTAAGCTGAGTTTGAGACCCCTGGTCTAGATCCTCTTATCACTGTATAACAATCCTGACGGAGAGCGCAAAGTAGAACAGATCCTTGTTAGATCATACACAGAAATAAAGTGAACTGTCGCAGACATGACTATGCATACTAGAATTGTGAGGAACTTTGCCATGTAAAACAGAAAGTTCAAGCAACTTGCCTTTCCTGCTTGTGGCTGATGATGAAATGCCCAGAAGTAGTACTAATCATGGAGTCTAACTTCTAGGATCAACTACTACTTGGGTCAAGACTTAAAACTACTTCATTTTTTAAATGGCTGCTTTTACATTTTATTCCTGTCTTTTATTTTAAAATTAATATAATAATATTATTGTTTTTACTGGTTACATGTGTACCCTCAACACTCCCATTTTTTTGGAAGGCAGGGACTATCTGTGATAGATGAATGAATGAATGAATGAATGAGTGAATGAATGGATGAGTATTTCCAAGTTATAGCACAATAAAATGCATTTGTTGGGTAGGTCCCCCCTCACTAGTGCTGGTTGAATTCAAAATTTTCTTTCTCACCCTGCTTGATGCTTCGGTACCACATCTTTTCAGCACTCAATCCATGTTGATTTATCACTGCAAATTTGATTCCTTCCCCCATTTCAAATAGCAGACTAGCTGCCATTGCAACAGGGCTGCAGGGAAGTCACGGTTGTGGATAATGTCCAGGAACTCTGCAGCAGACTCAAAGAGTTTGAATTTCTAAGCATCTGACCTGCAGATTCTGCAATAGACTGGCTTTTCCCAAAATTCCACATTGTGGACTTTTTTAATTTTCTGAACTTTAATGTGAATGTAGTTGTAGAAATGTACAGAA